AGTAAGAATGTGGCCTACAGGCACTGCGCCAGCTGTAGCGAATATCACGGGTACCTAAGTACCCTCACCCAGTATAAACCATGGCCAGTCCTGTATTTGAAAGTTTTGTACGGTCTACGCACATTAAAAAGCCCTGATAAATGTGAAATCATAACGATATGGAAATATGGGCATAAAGCGTAAATACAATCATGAAAACAGAATAGCAAATTAAGCAGTGAATCAAGACCAACAGTCACCCAGGAAGAAAGATTTGTTGAGAGTATGAGTACGCAACATTCACCTAGGACAAAATCTCCTTTCTCCATCATCTGAACGCCGACTATATCCGTCGTTCCAAGGTCTACGTTGTCCTCTTGGATCATTACTTTGCCAACTTCTAGCTTCTCGTCCTCTATCCCTCCAATTTCCTCGTCCTCCTCCTTCTCTCCCATCTCCGCGTCCACGATTCCAACCACCGCGCCCTCTCCAGTACTGGTGCTGTCCACTGTTGCTGAGATAAATATCGCTGTATGTACGAAATTTTTAAAGAATGGTTATGAACTTACTTGTCAAAATTCCGTTTAGGACGCGAATGAAAAGGGTGTAAACAAATTACAGGTTCAAAGCCTTCACAAATCTTAGCAAATGATTCGTTGTCCTAAATTTCAGTGTTTCTTCTCTGAGTGGGTGATGATGTATGGTACTCTTACTTTGGAGTAACGGTCAGCAAATAATTCCTCTAATGTAAACGCAGATCGTCCGGGAGGGCATTGATGCGACTTCTCTTCAAGTCCGTTGCTCATTCCCTGAAATATGCTGTTGTTTCAAAATTTCCGTAAATCTAAAGTGCTCGCGTGAAAGGAAGTTCAAAAGTCTATTGGTCCGGAAAGGATTTTTTTTTGGTTGAAAGGTCCGTTTAGAATAGATTAACACTATTCAATGTAAACGCTGTTTCCAAATCTGCTTTCCATATCTGCGAAGATTTCATAAAAATTATGGATACTTTGTCTTGATCAAAAATGGCTTACGACTGGAGTAAGGTGTTCAGAAGCACAACATTAATAAAAAAACAGCAGCGCGAAGGTTATATATTCATAAAATGTGGTTACAAAAATGACCCTTTGCTTGTTGTTTTGGCTTGAATTTGTCGTTGAAGAGCAATTACTTACAGCCACATATGCAAAAACTAATAGAGAAAAAACTTCCATAACTTCTTCCTGAGAAACAGCAATTTAAAAACAGCGTTTTAAGCTGCATCTACCTCTGCACCTTTTCGAATCACCACTTCGACAAGTATTCTCCCTTAACAGGAAACATATTATTTAAATTTCTCGACTTGAAAAAAAAAGATTAAAAAACGGGTTCCATTCGAGTTGGGACCTGGCGCATACATTACCCGTAAAACCTGCTACTAACCATATGAATGCTTTGTAAAGGTCTAAAATTTTGAATTACCAAAATTGACTCTTGCGCTATAGGTTGCAGAAATTTCGCAGATTCAAAGAGAGTCTACAAGCTAGTTGAGAAGTCCTATGCTAATCGGCGGATGGCGAGGCTTGAGGTAAGCCTAGTACCATCTGCAATAAATAGCGCACTTCAAGCAGTAGAGAAGAGTTGAAAAGACAAAAGAGTGACTGTTGCAATGATCAAACTACAGTGAATATGTCTATACTTTATTGATTTAGGGATCTTTGACTGAGATAGTAGAATCAGTCTAGTCTCCAAATGTAAGCCTACAAAGTTCGGGCATTGTATTCCATCGAAATTTGTATTCGCGATAGCATACATATCCACATACACACATACAGGATAAAAA